CTCAAAGAATTTTTCAAAATGGTCGAAAAATTTAGTTTTCAATTCACATAGAGGCATCTGGCTGGTTTTTTTAAAGGTTACTTTATACTTTTATACTTTAAGTAGTTTTTGGAGCACATACTTTTTCACTTTTACTTGAGTAAAGAGGTCAAGTTGATACTTTACCTTTTACCAGAGTGTTTTTAAACTGCAGTATCTATACTTCTACTTAAGTAACAAACGTAAAAAACCACTGAAAATCAGCGCGGTCCGAATAAAGAAAATCATCAACCAGTAAAGGTGCAGAGACATTTTACAGCATTTAACACTGAAATAAAACGCAGGTGTTTATGCTTCCACTAAATATAAAAAATAGAATGTGTTTCCATTTTTAAAATCTACATTGCTTTTAAAGTAGAGTTAAAAAGTCTTTCAGTTTGGTATATGGACAATTTCCTGACTCACCTTCTTTATAAAACACCTGAACTGACCCTTTTTTTTTTCTTTCTTTTTATGGCTTCATAGGGAAATCATATTTAAATGTCAAATCATTCTGGTTTAAACATGTTTATAAATGTACTCTTTATCAGACCATATTGTCCCAAAAGTTAGAAAATTTCTATTTAAGAACAAAATCCTGTTGTTGTTTTTTTTGTTATCTTCTGCAGGCCAGCTAGTTCTATGTTAGCCTGAACACCTAAATTCGACCAATCATATATCAATCATCTGGCAATCAAAATTTTGCGGCCATAGCATTTTGAAAAAATTCTGAATCTATATTGACCTAATAAGACATAGAATTTTGATTAAATAGAAATTTCACTTCATGCAGCTATATTAATATATTTGAAGCCCTTGCCCTGATTTTTATTTCATGCTTTTCTGTGCCACCATGAAAACACGCTGGCCCCCTCATGGCCCCCTCCTGACCCCCTGGTGCATCTTGGTTTGAACCGCCACTGTTTTAATAGATCCCATAACAAACTCAGACTGTGATTGTTACTCAGTCATATGCACCACAGGCAGAGATTACAGTAAAAAAATACGATTTTTACATGTTTTATAAAGTTAAAAGTGTCAGAAAGCTCAGCAGGCCCCAGGTATAAACAAAATAAGCAACTGCAAATGGATCCAAGGCCAGCAGGGGGCCCCCGAGAGCTACCGATCTAAAACTGTATTACTAAAGAAGCCTGTTTCCGCCAGCGTCATGAAGAGTTATATAGCATTATTATGCATTAGCTCTTTTATAATAATGAAAGATAATCTCAGAATTATGAGATACTCTCTTATTATCATGAGAGGGTGTCTCATTAGTATAAGAAAAGCATTTAATAGTTATGAGATGTAATTTTTATTTTGTTACGTGGGTAGAAGAAATACGCCCCCATACTCTCGCTGCTAAAGATGCATGCAAAAAACAAGCTTAATTCAACAAGAACATAAGTTCATGCTTAATAATTGTAAAGGTTATCAATGAAACAAACCTAAAAAGACAGAAAAATCAATATATATATATACATCTAGTGATCAATAACATGAAGGGAACACATCAACATGATAAAGCTTCTGTCAAATCAAACTTCTGTGAAATCAAAGTAACACTGACTGACAATTAGTTCGACCTGCTTTTGGTTAAATGGAAAACAAACACGGGTGGAAAATTTTGCAGGTGGCAAAATGAACGTTTCTTGTAAGATATAAAAGCTTTTTTTGAAAAGATCACAGATCACTTCTCAGTAACTTTCTCTCTTTTTTTTTTATAACCGCTGATCTGGTAAATTTTTTATGTCGGTGGTGCTTTCAGACTCACTATAGCATGAGAAGGACTCTACAACCCTCACAAGTGGCTCAGGTGCAAAAACCTAGCAAGGAGTAACAGGAGGGGCACTGCCAGAGCCCTGCAAAATGACCAGCAGGTCACAAATATGCATTTCAAATGGTTAGAAACCGACTCCATGATGATGACAGAGGGGACACAGTCTGTTGACACCCTGGAGAGAGGGACATCCCTCAGCATGACTGCCTTGGCAGGGGGTCAGTAATGATGTGGGTTTGCATTTCTTCAGAGGGCCCCGCAGCCCTCCACCTGCTCCCCAGAGGTATGATGACTGCCATTAGGTACCAGGATGAGAGGCTCTGGGTTCCTCCTAATGCAGGGCATTGATAAACCTCATGTGTCAGCACTTCCTGCAAGATGAAGGCATAGAAGCTGTGGACCGAGCCGCCGGTTCCCTAGACCTGAATCTGACATCATGTCTCCATCCGTCCACCAACGTCACATTGTTCCACAGATTGCCCAGTAGGTTCCTGATGCTTTAGATCAGGTCTGGGAGGAGACCAGCAGGAGCAGCCCAGGCATTGTAGACTCAATCCTGTGCCTCATCCTGACGATCGCAGGCGACTGATTTTATTGCGTTTACAACTAATAACTCAGAATGCATGAAAATTACAACAGTAAAATGTTTACCATTAAAGACATATTAGACATCGTTAGAAAGCTTAGATCCTCCATAATTCAACCACCAAGTTCATTTAATGGACACAGCAAGCACCAAAGCACAATTAACAGATATAGCAGCATGGAAACATTACAAAACAGCCACAACAACATACCTATGAAGGCGTCCAGAAGCCGTTTTATAAATCCAATCTCCAATTTGTTTTACTCCATTTGTCCATAAGGGTCCACAGATTGAAAGTAATCCAAATTATTCATAATAAAAATATTCCATGATGAGAAAATCGCCACATAACGTTCGGTTGTTGACATCAGAAAAGTTAGCTGATCTTGGCTAATGCTTAGCATCATGCTAATATTTACTTCCTAATACTTATTTTCTCAGTTGTTTGCCTGCGATGTTTGGTGTGTTTCTTTACATCGTCTTCTTACCTACAAGACTAAAGTTTCCGCATCTTTGTACGACTCAATTTGAGTCAGGGACGGACAATGAAGTCAGAATCAGAAATACTTTAATAATCCCAGAGGGAAATTACTTTTGTTACACGCTACAGTTTTAAACAATATATACACACATCCAACTATACAATATAATAAAAAAAAAAAAATAAGAATAAAAAGAGATAAAATATATACGCATATAGCTCTGCTGTATATATATTTCTCTAGGTATATCTATGCATATGTAAAAACTAAATCCAAATAAAGTGAAAATCCAAGTAAAAAGATAAATCCAAGTAAAGTGATACGTGGCGTGCAAAACTAGTGCATAAATGTCAATTCGCGGGGGTGGGGATGGGCTGAATCACTTGAGGGAGGCGTTATACAGGTTGATAATCAAAAAAAGATAAAAATAAGAAAGTTAAAAATGTAACTGGAGTGGTGTAACTACAGCATGCTGCTTTCGCGCATGCGCACTCCGCACTCTCACAAGTCTCACAAGCGCTCCTTGCCTGTTAGCCAATGACGCACCGAGTAGAGCGATATTACGCCTCATAGAGTCCTGCTGTTATTGGTTAAAACCACGTGGGCTGTTTGGCTTTTTAGCCAATTAAATGAGGTTTCAAACAAGCCTACATGTGGCTGGGTTATATAAAGCAGCATAAAGCTTACACTATTTTCATTTATATTTTCAGAAACTAGACGGTGTTAGATTTTAAATTATGTATCACACATGTAATTTGTGCGTGCTTATTTCCTTTTCCATTTGGGTATGCAAAATAGGCGAGGATCACTTTAAATTAGGTGGGTTTGAAGAGGTGAAGGACATTACATCAAAGCTGGATCAGCTTGTAATGTTTTTCCACCGTAATTTTCTCCAAAATCCAGGCATCCATTGCTTAATAAATTAGATTTTTACTGGTGATTTTTTTTCTGTGATTTTGTTTGTTGTTTCGGAAAAAGTATTCATATATATATATATATATATATATATATATATATATATATATATATATATATATATATGGTGTAGCTGAAGTGTTGGTGATGCAGCATTCTTATTGAACATTTTCCCTGTCCATCTGTCCCTGTCAGTCACACTGACTAATGCTGACAGAAGCAAAGAGAGCAGATGTCTTGCAATCGTATCATTTGGCACAAGGTGAGCCTCATCTGATGCTTTTGGATTCCTACTTTCCTTTTACATAAAAACAAAAAAAAACAGCGATAACATCAAATTAATCTATTTGCTACCGGATGTGGAAATCCTCCACCATCCTGAACACTTTGCTCATCCTCCTCTATTGACCTGATTTCTTGCATGCAGCTGTGTGAAATCTAAAAGGACTCTGAATAAGGGAGTTCTGCCCCAGATATACGCCGTTCAAGTTAGTAGGCATCCTAGAGATAGGAGGCATAGATAGCGCTGCCTTGTCAGTCATTAAATACAGCTACCACCCATGTTCCTCTGTCATGTAATGTCATTGGGGCTATTATGTGTTTTGATTTTTTACTTCCTTCTTCTGGTTGAACTTGTTCTTTCTTTATCTTTAGCGTTTCTATGAGCTGAGTCAGTGTCTATGAAGGCCTGCTCTATAAACAGGGCTTGTGTAACAGCTTTAGGAAACAGAAACTCTATTTGTGTAATGAGTTTATTAAAATCTGTCGTATACCGTAAGGAAAAAAGCAGCTACTTGCCAAGTAGTTAAATTTTAGCTTAGAGATACTCGTAACATCTTTGACAGGAAGTCAATATTTCTGTTTGTTTTTCTGCTTTATTAATTATGTCATCAACATAAAATCTGCCTCCCATAAAACAAGTATGAACAGGTCCTGGAAAACATCACATAGAGCGCGTGATCAGAGAGCGTTTGGAAGCGTTAGGTTTTAGTTATATTCAAATTCTTCACATAGATCTGCCTATAGTAGATGTTAACTTGTATTCTGTATGACTGAGGCTGCATTTATCTATATGGGAGAACATTGCAGGGATTTTATGGATGATGTTTGATATTGTTGGAAACAATGAACATGTTTTATAATTGGAAATTCGAAAAAAAAAAAATGCAAATCAGAAATTAAACTTTGAAAAAACTTTTTACGAGTAGCTATGCTGTTTTCTCAGATTTTATTTTTGCAGTTTTTAGTTTACTTTTTTTTTACATTTTATATGTTCAAAATTTGCAAGTTTTCCCTATTTTTATTAGCTTTTATTTTGCATTTTTGTTTTTTTTTAGACTTTTTAAAAATGTATATTATTTTCAGATTAAATTTTTCATTTAATTTTTTTATGTTTTTCATTTGTTTTCAATTTTGTACAGAGTTTCTGTTTTCAATTTTTATTCCAACATTTTTTTTTAGTCTACATTTAAAAAAATATATATATTTTTTAAGTTTTACAAATTGTGTTCTTGTCAGAATCAGTCTTATGGATTCCCTTCACTTTTCTTGAAAATAGAAACTCTGTAAAAAAAAAATGTGTTAAATATATTTAGTTGTAATCAGAATTTAGAAAATTAAATCTAAGAAAAGAGCAAATTTGGTCTCAAAACCTTTAAAAAAAAACTTTTTCAGAGATTTGTTTCTGAATTGCATTTCTTTTTTTCCAAATTTCTCCTTACAGAAAATGTTCTTTGCTTGCAACAATAATGGACAAACTTTCACTCCGTACATGAAGAATACAGTAGAAGCTGGAAACGGCCGTTATTATTTAATGATCAAAGATGTTGTGAGAATATTTTAGGCTGATTTATAATTTGATTGGTCTGATGTGTCCTGATAAGATGGTTCTATGTCCTAATGATGTTTCTTTAAAGGATACAAAAGAAAAGACAAAAAACAAAACAATAAATCCTTTAATTTAGTATGTCAAACACAAAAAGGGTTCTGTAATAGAAACAAATATGAAAATTTAGATTTAAAAGCTGAATAATAGCAAGAATTTCAATTAGATTTTAAATCCAAACCCACTTTCATTCTTTTACTTCTCTCATCCAGTAAGAAGCTCATTTCTCAGATTCCTTTATGCCAAAAAACAAAAAAAAGCTTTTATATCTTACAGGAAATGTTCAATCTACCTTTTTACACATCAAAGCCAGTTTAATTTCAATTTAATTCAGTTTATTTCTATAGCGCCAATTCACAACACAAGTCATCTCAAGGCACTTTACAGATCAACCAGATCATACAAGTGATTTTTATTAAACGGCTAGAGCAAAATCCCATTATATTTAAATATATTTAGTAGAAAAATAAATTACTTGATGCTGCATTAATTTTCCATTTATCAAATAAATTAATAAATAGATGCTATATCAGCTTATTTAATGGTAAATAAATTTATTTTTATGGGACTTAAAATTTCAGCCCTCTTTACACCTCAGGAATGATGTAACAAAAACTGCTAAAACAATCAGCAAAGCTTTTTGGCAGCTTTCTGTAACTATTGAGCCAATTTGACAGCGAATTTCTCCACTGTGAGATCAGTAACGTCTATCTCATCTTATCTTATCTTATCTTATCTATTACATTAGTTGAATAATGATAAAATATCCTTCAGCTTTAAGCTAACAACAGCAGGTCCTATTGGTCGGATTTTAAATTTTCCTGCTTATTAACCTGATCCAGTGGTGCAAGTTAAGATCCTTTCAGAAACCGAAGGAAGAGTCACTTCAGTGTCTTTATTTTGTCCAAAAAAGTTTAAAAAACAATCCACTGGATTTTGATTCCAAGTTTGAAGACGTTTCTCTTCCCATCCAGGAAGCTTTTTCAATTAAAAATGTCAGAAATAGCCTTGAGTTTGAGGCTATTTCTGACATTTTGAATGAAGCGAAATGTCTTCAAACTTGAAAACAAAGTCCAGTGGTTCGTTTTTTCAAAACCTTTTTTTGTTATGACTATGACCCGGATGACTGAGAATCTTCACCAGCATTTAAGTCGTCTCCTGTCTTCATTCCTTCCCAGTGCCGGACAATCCGAGTTTGAAGCTGTTCAGAGCTGAAGCTAACCTGGGCCTGCTGCGGTTCTCCGATGCTCTGATGGACCTCGACTACCTCTGCTGCCTTCAACCCAACTGGACAGAAGTGAGAGACCAGCGTCTTTTGATTTATACTCCTGATTGCGTTTCATAAAACATATAGACTTAGACTTTATTGTCATCTTTTACACACAGTGTATGCAAAAAGCAATTTCGTTCAGTACAGCTCGCAAGACATTTCCATTTTTAAAGTGCAGCAGTGATAAAATGTAAGACTGGTATGTACGGTGGCTGAGAAGTGCAAAACACATTTACAATTCAAAAACACATCAACAAATAAAAGACAAAATAACATTTGAAGAAACAAAATTATATTTTATGAAACAAATGTATTTTTGAAAAAAAAGTTAAAATTTTAGCAAACAAATTCACATTTAAAATAGGTTAGATTTTAGGTGAGAGAAAGTTTCATTTTAGAGAAAAAAAAATACATTATAGGGAAACTAATTTACATCTTAAAGAAATTGACCCTTCGGAAACACTTGTACAAGTGCAAAGACAAAACTGCAAGCGGCAAAACACAGTTACATAGCCAAAAACAAA